AGAAAATTTATTCAGGCCGCAAAGTTTTAGAAGCGGTTTTGTTGAAATGTTTTGCTATTAATATTCTGGTTCTATACAGAAATTCAGCTTTCTCTGTCAGACATTTAATTGTAGAACTTCAGGAAGTCCTTACTTCTGAGTTATGCAATCAAAATGTGCTAATTGTTGGAGATTTCAACATATGTTTAATATCTACAGGGAAGTCAATAGGAAATCTGGTCCAAGAAAAAAACGTTTGTTCCCTGCTTGGTGTAGAATATTCAACTACACCTGCCGGTAAAGAATTTATTGGGCATTTTCAAACATGGATCCTTCCCATGTTAATGCATTTACTTTTGAGACAGTACACAGCTATCATGACAGTGTTTGTGTCTCTATTTCCAACTAAAATTTCAGACTTATTGCAATAGTTTGTCATTTTTTTTTTCAAATATATTTTTATTTTATTTTATTTAAGAAAAATATTATATGTAAATAACCTAATTACGAAAATTTGAATTATACCTTCTGCTCAACCATAACTCTGCTTTATCCATAACTCGACAAGGACATGACATATGGCCATACTTTTTTTGCTTAGGTTGGCAGGACTGTTATATGTTTACATGTCAAATTTGAGCGCGATCTGTCACATATTTTTTTTTTTTAAGGCACTATAAACAAGTCAACCCCGAGTGTGTTTTTCGAATTTTACTAGGGAAATTAACGTTGAGAAAAAAGTGTTTGTTTAAAATTTTGTTATTCCAATGGAATAAGTGCGACGGACGCAATGAAAATGTTGCAGAAGGCATATGGGGAGTCTTGCCTATCACGTGCACGCATTTTTGATTGGTATAAGTCGTTCAAGGACGGCCGTACATCGCTGGAGAACTTGCCCCATGATCGTCAATAAACGAAGAAAACGTCGAAAAAGTAAAGAAAATTGTGTTGGAAAATCGTCGTGTGACTGAAAGAGAGATAGCTAGTGAGCTCAACATATCAAATGGATCCGCTCATAGCAATATTCACGATGTTTTGGGCATGAGACGTGTGTCTGCTCGACTTGTTCCAAAATCCAGCTCATACGTCTCGTCTTGTACGCGATTATTTGACCAAAAACAACGTAAATATTGTTCCGCAAGCACCGTATTCACCCGACATGGCACCGTGTGACTTTTTTCTTTTCCCTAAACACAAATTGCCGCTTCGTGGAAAGCATTTTCAGTCGATTGAAGTCATAAAAGAGAATTCGAAGAAGGAACTGAAAGCCATACCTAAAGCGGCCTAGCAGAAGTGTTAGGAAGATTGGAAAACAAGGTGGCATATGTGTATCGCCTCTAATGGTGACTATTTTGAAGGGGATAAAATAAATATTGAAGAATAATTAACCGTTTTTGTTGTTTGAGCCAGTCTCGTTTATATTTGAGCAGAAGGTATGTATAATTTGTTATTATATAAGACATTATTGTATAAATATATGATAGAAATTAAATAGTATAAGGTGAAAAGAAATATAATTTGGATATATGTATAAGAATCTCTACAAAAATTTATGTTTTATATTGTAAATATTATATACAAATGAATATAATGATATAATTTTTAAAGTTGTTAATATTTATTATTTTTAAGCTAAACATGTATAATAATATCGATAAAATAAATAAAAAATGTTATTTATTGTCAAAAAACGATTTATTTTCATACTCCTCAATACAGTTGTAATTCATTCTATATAAAATAAGTTATAAGCGTATACAACAAAACACAAGAACGATTGCTCTAATTATTAAAATATATAAAGAAATCTCAAACGAGTATACCATTTGACAATGCGAGAGTATAAAATGTTCGGTTGCATCCGAACTTAGCCCTTGCTTACTTTTTATACTCTCGCAACCTGTTGCTACAGAGTATAATAATTTTGTTCACCTAACGGTTGTTTGTATCATCTAAAACTAATCGAGTTAGATATAGGGTTATATATATATAAATGATCAGGATGAAGAGACGAGTTGAAATCCGGGTGACTGTCTGTCCATCCGTCCGTCTGTGCAAGCTGTAACTTGAGTAAAAATTGAGGTATCTTTATGAAACTTGGTACATATGTTTCTTGATACCGTAAGACGGTTGGAATTACAGATGGGCGTAATCGGACCACTGCCACGCCCACAAAACGCCAATAATCAAAAACAAATAAATTGCCATTACTAAGCTCCACAACAAGATACAAGACTCTTGTTTGGTATACAGGATCACATTAGGGAGGGTCATTTGCAGTTTGAATTTTTTTTTTAAAGTGGGCGTGGTCCGGCCCCTAATAGGTTTAATGTGCATATCTCTTATACCACTGAAGCCATAATAAAAAAAATTCACTGGGAACAAATGTTTTCAGCATCTCTATCGACGGTGTGAAAATGGGTGAAATCACGTGACAACCCCGCCCACTTCCCATATAAGGGTACTGCTAAAAAGTACTAAAAGCGCGATAAATCAAGCACTAAACAAGCCAAGACATTAAATTTTTATCTCTGGGATGGTATGAGATGACGTTATACGCACCATGAGCGAAATCGGATTACAACCACGCCTATATCCCATATAACAGCATTTTAAATTCCATCTGATGTTTTCACTTTCCAGTATGCAAATCAAGCAACAATGATTATATCGGCGTAAAACTTTGCGTGAATAATACGTTTAAAGTATGCCACCTTGTGACCAAAAATTATCTAAATCGAATCAAAACTGTTCGAGCCCCTAGGTACTGAATATGTGGACTCCAGTGCCTATAGCTGACTTTTTACCGATAAAATCGGTCTACATAGAATTGCCGCCTTGTTCTATGTTGACCGATATTATCCACAAAGAAATCTAAAACGAGGTTACCATTTGACTTTGCAAGAGTATAAAAAGTTTGGTTACATCCGAACTTAGCCCTTCCTTACTTGTTTTCGTTGCTTTTTTTCAAATAAAGTAAAAGCTAAAATAGCGGAACTCATTGTAAACTTTAGTAGACTTCATTTAGCATTTCAAATTTAAAAAACGCTTCCTAATTTATGCATTTGCCAATTTCTCACATTAGTAAATAGCTGATTCGAATTTTGGGTTGGCATATGTTCGAAAAGACGCAAATCCAATCAGATTCTGTGACACCATTTAAAATCAGGGATGGTTTGCAATTCTGACAACTACGCAAATCTGTCTTGGATTCCACAACACCCCTGATTGTGACGAATATACTGGATTGTGCAGAAAACACAGTTCTAGCGTAAATTCGGATGGGATAACTTTAGGATACCGTCCCAGGGTTTCGGGAATTAAATGGGTATGGGCGGATAGAGGAGATCCTCTAGATCAAGAATATATATAGATATAGCTGCGGGAAACTTATAGTTTTTGAGACATTTTCGTTTAAAATTGATTTCAACTATTTAAAGTACGTATTTATCGATTTAAAATCAATTTTGCACTTATATTTTTCAATTTTATATCTACTAACACTTCACTAATTTGTGTTTACACATTTATTTTACATTATATAGTGCAAAAATTGCTTTAATTAAATATTTAACTTATTGTTCAATTCTCTTAATTTACACAATAACAAAAGGATTGCAAATCCCCGAAATACTGGGACGGTATTCCAAACTGTATGGATTAGAATTAAAGATAAGTGTATAGCCATTAAATTGAGACTTTTTTAACAATCCAGTGTTCGAACTCAAAAGATACAAGACAGCCGATTTATTGAGAAATATGTTACAATATAATTGTTTGACAAGAGAACAGCGTGCAAAGATATCGAGAAAAATTACGTTTCGAAAGCAGCTAATATCAAAATTCCTGCCATCTACTAAAATTTTTTATCGGTTTTAATTCTGATTCTGACAGCTATAAGATTCCACAACACCCCGAGTGTTTTTTCAAATATGTTAACCCAGAGATATTCTTTGCACTTTGTGGTATACTGTGTCACTGGTGTCAGTTGTCTATGTTGCTGTTGTTGTAGCGGCAGAATTCTGCCGAGTTGAGTCCTTGGCCGGAATAAACCCGGGTCCGTTCCGGTTACGTAGACCCGACTGTCGTGGGAACGGGTCAGTTGTCTATGTTTAATAGCTGTAAATATGCATAACTTAGATTTTAGCACTTTATATTTAAAGAGTTCTGGTCCCAGTTCGGAATTAAACATTTTTTTTTACTAAATGTGTGTTCCAAAATCATACAAAAATATATTTATAAATCAGTGAGACATGTTCATTAATTTTTAATTATGCAAATAACACCAGTGATGTGCTTATATTATGGCATAAGGAGATTAACATTCATTTTTGAAATTGTGGTCCCTAAAAATTTTTCTTCGTCTCCTCTTATAGAGAGTGGTATTGTTGAATCATTCAGATTTCGTTCGCGTACCATTGCACTACGTTCCCACCTGGAGCTTTTGCAGTTAGAACAACTAAATTTAGGAAGCTTGAAAAGAGTAATTGTACGATTTCCACAGTCCTTGCATTGGAAAAATCGTTTTACGGCGTCTATTATTTTTAAAGAGTGCTTCTCAGTTTTACATCGGTCAGCGGCAGAAAACGCTGTATATTTACAATCTTTGCATAAAATAGCTTTGCAAGATATTGTAAATGTTTTTAGCATTTTTTCCTCCATTGCTTCTTTCTTTTCTAACCTAATAAAATATTTGTCTTCTTCTTGCTTTTGGCGAACGTTTACCAAATCTCTATGAGTTGTGCCAGTTTCAAAAATATCTGATATATGTAAATCATGGATTTCTTCACTCTTCTGGCGTTTATGATTTTCGGTTGCATTAAGTACCTCTAAAGCACGTTTCTTACCCCCAATTGTTCCACGTATTGAATTAGGATTAACTTTTTCAATGGGACACTTTTTTAATACTTCAAAAGCTGTATCCTTGGCCTTTTGATGCGGGTCTGTACCTATTTATTTTAATGATTTTATTTTTGAAAATTATTATTTGTAATAATAATATAAATGATGTAATTATATACCTTTTAATTCTATTCTGCTTCGATTTTTAGTAAATGTATTACAGGAACTCTTTGTCAAATAGAGTGATTTGACGCGTTCCAAATCTTTTTTTCGCTGTTTTACATCTGGTTCAACTTTAGAAGCAATTCCATAGTTATTAAATTTTTGAGTTACAGACGATATATTAGATTTTACGTTATATTCATCCGTAGCTATATTTTCAGCTGTTTTGTTGTAGTTTAATGTATCCAATATTAATCTATCCTTCTGTATTAATGTTTTAGCACTAAGCTGTGCAGATGTGCTTTTACTACAAGCTAGTAAAAATAGATTGACACTATAAGTGTATATTATTAAAGGTAAATGTGGCAAATGTATAGTTTAGGTCCCCTAACTAAGGGCGCCTCAAAAAAGATTTTTTTTTTAAAACGTCTTATTTTGACGCGAATATTACAAAACCGTGAGCGGAAAGTAAATTTTTTCAATAATTTAGGTACATATTTATAAATATATTTATCGCACTTTGCACATATTTTTCAAGTCACTTAGTTGTTGATCTTATTGTAGCGACAAAATTCTTCAGAAATTAGACCACTTAGCTATAATTACGAGTTCATTTTCTTGGGAAAAAAATACTGAAGATATGTAACGGCCACAATTTCTTTTGCGCCACACTGGGGGCCTTCGGCCGCGCTTAAAAAAAAAATTACCCTGGTCGGTCCAACACCGGGTAGTTCATAATTCTTTCGCGACGAAATCCTTTCCGCGCTGGCGCCCTCTGGCACACTTAAAAAAAATAACCCTCATCGAACTCCTTTCAGCACGCAATATAACTATGGACACTCCGGTGAAGGACCGACGAAGAGTGGCCGAAGTCCGCCAGTGCCAAAAGGAGTTCGACGATCTCCTCTATTCCTCCCTACCATCAGATCGCGAAATGAAAGAAATTGTGACCGTTATATTTCTTCAATATTTATTTTTCACAGGAAAATGTAACTCGTTGAACAGGTCGTTACAACTAAATAATCTGAATTCTACTTATCCCTGAATAAATAATACGATTTAAAATTAATATTTAATAAAAAATTATTATTATCGCGTCCTCCTTCATTGAGGGACCTAAACTATCCATTTACATTATTAAATACTGTTGATCTTATTACTTACCCGTCTGAACTTTTTGATATTTATCAAGTTTAATTTTTTTTGCAGCAAAAGGTCTAGCAACTTTTTTGAACTCCTTTTGAATATGGAATATGCAAAAATCACTCTCTTGCAAATTAATAAAATTGGTACATTTTTGTCCATTCAGTTTTTTACCTTTGCATACACCAAAATCTTTAGATTTACCTAAAATCAATACTTTTTTTGCATTTTCAATTGAAAGTTTAGCAATGTCTTGTCTGTATGAATTTTTTTCAATTAAAGTTGGATTAAGAATAGCCACACAAGTTCCTGGAGATGTATGCCACAATTCATTGTGAGCATTTTGAAACAGAAATACTGAAATGGTTTTTATATTTCCTTCAAGATCCGATAGCCTCCAAATTGTAAAACGACTGGAATCTTTTGAACTACTCTTTAATTCCTTTGATAATAAAACAGCAGCAATAACCCAGTCAGATGCGGTTTTAACTTCAAATTGCCTTGATAATTCATCGAATGTAACAAATTTTCGACCCTCCATTCGTTCCAATAACAATGCACTCGATATTTGAGGACCCAATATTCTTAGACCAAAAATGGGGTCAATATATGTATGTTCATTGGAATTAAACGACGTCTCCATATACTTGCATCCATTAGTGATTTTTTTATTTTCCACAATTTCTTTCTCACTTAAATTTTTAGCAGTACGTTTGAATACTTTTTCTTTATTTATATCTTTTCCAAAACTATAATTATCCACAGCTAACGGCTTATATACATCACTACTATACTCATTGAATTTACATAGCAAGAAGTTCTCCACATTGTGGGCATTAATTCTTTTTGAGCTATTTACATTAAAATGGGGTTCAACACTTTTCAATTCCGTATCAACTTCTGATAAGAGAGCATCTAATTTTAAGAGCTCATCACTTTTGACTAATATTTCATTATCAAGACAGTTTGCCATGCTAACAAATTAATAAATATATATTAATAAATCCAGATCCGTTTACTTCTACTTTAGTCAAAAATAACGATTGGAACCCGTCATTTAAACAGCTTTCAATTTAACATCTTGTCTGCAGAACAATTCATTTCAAAAAGAGAGAAACATCGTAACCTTATACCATGGAAAGAAATAACAAGGCTCCTCAACAATCAATAGATGTTGTCTCGATAACATTATTGTAACTGCATCCACACACGTAAACTCTTGTTGCCAAAGCTCGTAGTTTCTCCTTTGGTGCGGCTCACTGTATTTACTCAAATCCTTGTATGCTGCATGTACGGCGTGCACAAAAATATTTTTGATTACCCAATTTTTATTCTTATTCACCCTCTTCCAAAACATTTCTAATATATGTATTTTGAATATTTCCATACATATTTACATGTTACATACAAAAAAAATTATCTCTATTTTAATTGTCAATAGTTTTGCCATTATTTTTTAGAACTAAACGAAGCCGTTTGGGCATTGAATTAACTAATGACTGTATAATACGAGGTTTGACAAAAATCCAATCGCAAATTTTGTATTTTTTACGAAAGTGTTTATTTATTCTTGAATATTTAATTTGTTCCCTTCAAAGTAATCACCCCTAGATAGAATTCACTAAAGCCAGCGTTTTTTTTCAATCCTCAAAGCTCTTAAAAAAGTAATTTTTCTGATGTTGTTGTTGTAGGGCAGAAAACATTATTGTAGTAATTTCCAGGAATGGTGCCGAGTTGACAATCCTTGGCCGGATAAAAATCCGGGTTTGTTCCGGTTACTTAGATACGACTGTCGTGGAAACGGTACTTTTTTGTAATCTTGTTCAGCATCTCCTTCGATGCAGTTTCTATCTCCACAATCGTAGTGTAACAGCGTCCTTTCATGGGTATCTTCAATTTTGTGTTGTTTTTGACCAAATACGAGGTTTGTTCAAAAAGCGACGCGAATTTTGAATCACCGATATAGCGTAAGTGCATTATATCTAGGGGTGATTACTTTGAAGGGGACAAAATGTATATTCATGAATAAATAAACACTTTCTTAAGACATACAAAACTCACGATACTTTTTGAACAAACTTCGTAGTTACATCAATATTAGCCCATTCTTGACGCATAGCTAATATAAGTTAACGTCTCAACTGTCTAAAGCTGCGTTTTCGAAAACACAAGCAGAGAGGATCCCCCAGAGATCCTCGATCGGTTTAGGGTTCGGATTTAATGCTGGCCATTGTTATACGGAATCAAAGAAATTCTTCGTCACCTGTTCCATGTGGATTGAAGAGTTATCCTGCTGATATGTCCTGTTATCGCCATAAATATTGTCAGTACATTCCATTAACTCAATGTCCAAAAGATCAACATATGTACATTCTAGCATTAACTTAAGTGGATTAAAGCACATATGGTAGGTAGGTGTCTTTCCATTGGAGCAGAATGCAGCCCATACCATTAAGGTTCCGTCTCCAAGCCTCGCTTGCAGTAGGACAGTCGAATCTCCCTAATATTTCTTGCATTGATCTGTTTATTTTGGATACGAAAGCTGGTGGATTTGCAGTTGGAGGCGCTCTATCACAAATCTTTAATAATCATGAGAAAGTGGTTGCATAGACAATTAAAATGGCTTCTTTTCAGATTTAAAAAGTGTAATACGTGGAGGGAAGATGAATAAACGTCCACCAAGAGAAGAAATGGTTGCAGAAAGCACAATTGCAAAGGCTTATTGGGGCGAATCGAATAGTTTAAAGTTAGTGTCTGGCTGCTTTCATTGTGTATGGGAAAGCGAAAATGGGCACAGTTCCCGAGCTCTGATGATGATTCCAAAAGTAAGAATTCCCAAAATTCTTAACGAGCTATCACTAAAACCTTGGAGAAATTAAAGAAAATATTTAATTGGGTTGGCTGTCATCAATCAGTTACGGAGTGGATCGCCAATTGTATCGATTTCATTGCTGCTAAAGGGACGAGGTGCAGGAATTATGGGCAGATGAAGCAGTACAATTCAGGTGTACCATTTGAGCGAATTACCATGGATGTAGCAGGTCCATTTCCTATTAGTAAATTAGGAAACAAATATGTTTTGTTATATATGGACTATTTTAGCAAATGGTAAGAGGTATGCGCAATTCCTAACCAAGAGGCAGGAACAGTAGCGAATGTATTCATCAACAATTGGGTATCGAAATATGGTGTTTCAATAGAATTACATTCTGACCAAGGGAGATATTTTGAATCAGCTCTAATTCAGGAGATGGGCCAGAAACTGGGTATCCGGAAAACCCGTACAAATGCACTACATCCGCAGTCCTATGAAATGGTGGAACGATTCAATCGAACTTTGGAAGAATATTTGAGAAAAGTTGTGGACAAGTATCAAAAAGATTGGGATACCCATATATCCTTGTTCCTGGTGGCTTATCGGTCTGTTGTACATGAAACAATGGGCCAGACACCACTAAAGGTAATTTTTGGTAATGATCTTCGACTACCGATTGATTTCAAATTTGGAATTAACGCCAACGGAGGAAGGAATACTAAGGAATTCAACAGCATCCTAGAAGATGATATGAGGGATATACATACTATGGTGAGACAGCGCAACAAAATTATGAGCGATAAAATGAAAGTGAAACACGACAGGCAATGAACTCTGAAGGTTTAATTGAAGGCGATTGAGTATTTTTATATAACCCACAACGAAAGAAAGGGCTGTTTCCCACATTAAAGTATAATTGGGAAGGACCATACGAGGTTGTTAAATGACTCAACGATGTAGTGTATCGCATAGAGTCCAAGGAATACAATGAAGGTGGTTCATCGGGGACGGCTTGCAGCGTTTGGTACCGCAAATATGTCTAATCGGGCCGATCAGACTTAGGTGGAGGGCAGCGTATCAAACACGAATACCAGAACAAATCAGAATCGACGATAAACTGCCAGAAGCAACTAGAAAGCGAACTCGTAGCTACCAGAATGTTCTAGTAGCGAACTTCTGTTAATTTTTTACAATACTATATAAGCGCTGCCGGTTTGTGCAGCAAACACAATTCTAATTAGTGTGTTGCCGTGTAAAGAGCAATTAAGCTATAAACAATAAGTTGTAAACTCGAATAGCGAGCAATAAGTTTTAAGTTGTTGGAATTAGAAATGAAGATAAGTGTACAGCATTAAATGGGAACTTTAATTAGACAACGTATATTATAAAGAAGGTTCATGGTGTGCCGATTGTCAAAATGGTCCGCTTGACGGAGGATTACTCGCCAACATTAAAGGATTTCACCACAAACAAATTATAAGCGGATTTCACCAGAGTTTTATCCCTGCGGTGCGCAAAATAACAGAATTAAGCATTTTGAGTGTGCTAATTTTAATATGAAGAAATGTAAGCTTACAGATTCGTTAATTTACAACGCACAAACAACTTTGCATATAATTTCCGCGCTCTGATTTTATAATAGTAGCGGACTCTGTGAATAGATCTATTAACAAAGAGTCGAAGTGTCGTAGCATTGACGGCTGCTTGCACGACGACAAAGCGTCATAATATTGCGTTGTTGGTTGAAAAACCGAGCTATGCCGCAAAAAAATAACGAACGGCCGCCGATTATCTTTGCTTCCCTTGCCGCTCTAACATCTTTGCCAACAAATAATCGTAAGTATGTATGTTTATATATGAGCATGCATACATATTGACGCAGATTTTTGTTAGGCACGGAAAAATATTTTAAATTTCTACATCAGAAATTTGTTTAATTTATGATTTTTTGCTTTTGCCATTGAACGAAAAGACGCTTGTAGGCAAACGCATGCTCGGGGAGATGTGACTGTGTCTGAATGAAGCGAGGTCGAAGATACGCTTGCGTTCCCGAATGAATATGTTGTTATTGTGTGATTTACTATAAATTTGGGCTTCGGCTATTTGGATGACATACTGAGTTGTGACGATTGTTGTTTTTGTAGAACAATGCTTGTAGTTTTTGCGGGTGACATTTACATGTGTACGAAGAATATGTACATATATAGGTTGGTTTGTGTATGCATTATTTGTTAGGCAATGTTATATATACATGTGTGTACATATATACATGTGTGTACATATAATTCAATGCGCGCGGGTGACATTTACATGTTGCGGGTGACATTTACATGTGTACGAAGAATATGTACATATATAGGTTGGTTTGTGTATGCATTATTTGTTAGGCAATGTTATATATACATGTGTGTACATATATACATGTGTGTACATATAATTCAATGCGCGCACATGTAGTAACTTCATAAGTGATAAAATTATTATTTGAATTTCTGAATGCGTACATTCAAATGCGCGTGTTCAGATATGTGTTCATATGACTATATAAGATTAATATGATTTAAGATGTATGTATATGTTTTAATAAATTTAATCACAATTAGTAACAATTATAACACAAAATATTTAGTAGGAATGCGTTTTATGTAAAAACTAAATAAAATTGTTGAATGCCAAATTGACCATAAATATTATTTTGAAAAGTACATAATTTAATTATAGTCTTTCAGTTTTTCATGCATGCATAAAAATTCGCACAATGAAATTCATATCAATATTTGTATATGATTGCATATAAACGTATAGGAATATAAGTCAAAAGGCTAACATTCGGGTGCAATATCAATGCAAACTTCTGAGTATAATTTACATTTTATGCTTAGCTCTGTTCACGCGCCACTGTTAAAATTTCTCCTTCCGAGTTATCTGAAGTTAAATCCACTCATCGAATTTTGTTAGTTTTTGACAATTCACACGCTGGTCCGCAATTGAACCATCTCTATAATATACGTTCTCTGCTTTAATTTAACAATCCAGTCAGAGATAAAGAGATGCCCAACTCGTCTCTCACTGGAAATGAGAGCGCAATTGATAAAAGTCAAAACCTACTGAACTCAAGCAACTGTCAAAATCGGTTACTTAACCGATAGGGTTATTTTTAAGTATTGGTGACTTATTTGTTAATTTATGTATACACAAAAGCTGTACTGCAAAAGTGTTTAAAATACGTTCCCTCTTTCTTTGTGTTAATTAATTGTTTGAAAAAAAATCTTTTTTATAGAAAATTTATTCGAATTTGATAAATTTTTGGAAAAAATTTGGCACAATTAAAAATGATCAAAT